CAATCAATTTTTATATGATAAAAGTAAGTGTATTTTAATAGTATTATTTTTACTTCTTCTTCAAACAAAATTATTATATTTACCTTTAAACATATTATTGTCTAGATTATTTTTAGTCAGAGCAGCTGCATTCTTTTCGCATAATAATTCACATTGAATCTCTACAAAAGAGATATTTATTAACAAATACATCAATTTTTCTTGKCAGTTAATAAAAAAATAATATCTTCTATTACTGTGTATAAAACTTGATAAAAGATTTTGACATGAATAGAATTTCCTAACATAATGAATGTGCCATTTGTTTTCTTAATTTGTGATAACTAGGATACATTTCTTTTGGTATTCTTTTAATAGAACATAACTGCATATGATTTCTTCCTAATGTAAGTATAATAAGAACAGTTCATTTAAAAATCTTTCATAGTTGCAGTATTGTTGGATTCTTCTTATCAATCTTGATAATAATGAGTAGACACTTGTAGTCAAATTATTTACCTCCCCTGTGGAATGAATCAATTTATCAATCAGTTTAATATAGGTTTTATTACGTGTTTTGTTCGTGGTCAGCAGTGATGAAATCGAGCATTAATTTACTCGTTCTCATCCAGAAAAGCATATAATAAATTTTTTATTCAAAATTATTTTTATTCAAAAAAAAAGGAAAAATAATAATGTTGCAGAAGGAAAGCTCGAAAAGGATACAGATATATGACTTTTTATAATCTTTTCTATTAAGTACAATAAACAATAGCATCAGCAATGGTATAATAATAATAATAATAATTATAATAATTATAATAATAATAATAATAATTATAATAATAATAATAATAATAATAATAATATTAAAATAGTCATATTAATAATAATATCGCAAAGAAAATTATATTAATAAAAATAATTTAGTATAAACCGTGTCTTTCGGTATATTTCGTTCTTTTCTTTTTGTTCTTTCTTTTTTACACGCACGCATGAATTCTATCTATTTGTATATGCTTAAATTGACGAGAAAATTAATATAATCTTAACGAAATAAAGCCAAAAGAAAAATAATATTAAAAATCAAAATAAGCTATAGAAGTAAGAAATTGTACGATCACTATATTTATAAAGTCTACATGAGTATAAAAAAAGATGTATCTCCGATTTATTTTAAATTTACAATGTAATTCTCATCAGAGATTGAAAAAAAAAATGTTAAACGACGGAGAAACAAAATCGTAGGAGATCGTGTTTAAGAGCACATATACCAAATTTGATTAATACGAAATATTCATCAACCTAATACATTCGGTAGACTGTGTATATGTATATTTTATTTGATAAAAAAGTAAAATCTGTTATCTTTTGTTTGATAAAACGGTAAGACAAATGTCGAACGATGTAAAAGTGCAAAGAGAGAAAGAGAGAGGACTAGCTACTGTAACATGTCTTTCGTACATTTGCTAAAATCATACTGAAATCATCTTCAGCTTTAGTCGAGTTCTCAATATTTTGTATATGTTGCTGCTGAGTTTGTTGTTGCATTTGTTGTTGCTGCTGTGCTTGTGATTGTTGTTGGGGATGCGCTGAATGCTCCTGATATTTGCCAAGTGTTATGCTACTCGCAGTATGATATTGTTCAATACCATGGCCGATTCCCATATTAGTACACCGAGCATCTTTATTCTGCTCGTCAACTATGCAGTGAGAGTTTGAAATATCGAATTGAGATTGTTGTTGTTGTTGTTGTTGTTGCTGTTGTTCCAAATCATAATAACGCAAATCGCTTGCGTAATTGTGATTATTGTCCAATAAATTTTGGGATCTTAAATTAGAATGACCAGCACTCGTGGGATGGGAATACTTAAAGTACTTTTCTAACTGCAAGCTTTGTTGCTGTTGCTGTTGCTGCTGCTGCTGCTGTTGTTGTTGTTGTGGTGGTGGTGGTGGTGGTTGTTGTGATTGTTGTTGTGGTTGTTGTTGTGGTTTTTGTTGTTGTTGTTGTTGTTGTTGTTGTTGTTGCTGCTGCTGCTGTGGTTGTTGTGGTTGTTGATCTTCCTCAGTTGAAGTTGACATACTACTTGGATCTATGTGAGTAATAATTTGTTGCTGTTGTTGTTGTTGATCGTGCGAAGAATTTGCATCAGTTTGATATTCTTGATGATGCTGAGACATTTGATACCTTGGACTGACACCTGTTTAAATGCCAATGATATTATTTCAATATAGTAATAATATATTTTTTATGCTTTCTTTTAGATATATTGATTAAATATCGATTGAGTTTATTTACCTGAGCAACTTTCTGTTGTACCTCGTATCCCCATAGTTTGTTGCCTGTTGCTACACTGTACTGAACTATAGTTGCTCTCAACTGCTGCCTGCATTGAATAGTTTACTGATTTCGAGGACTGACTACTTGCGTAATGTTGCAAGGATTGATCGTGAGGAGAAGCAACGGGCGGATAAAACGTGCCAGTGACCGAACCAACGTTTTCGAAACCAGAACGAAGCTTGTTGCATGATACCATCATGCCATTTGCTATACCTAATGCTGCTATGCTGGACGTCTGCCTCTCGAAGTTTAAATAACTAATCTATAAATTTTGTAATACTTCTATATTGACAAACTATTATTAAAAAATGGAGAAATGAAATTAGATGAAGGCCAGCATACATACCGATTTCTTATAAGTCAACGTGTCCGTATAATTAGCTGAATTTTGACAAGACGTAATGCTAGTAGCAACATTATGAGTCCCATGAACCTGATTATTTTCACTTATAAAAGTGTACCGTTTTGTTTGATCGTTAATATCCCCAAGTTGTTTCGACGTCCCTTCCATCAAATCCCGTTCTGGATCTGGATTTTGCGTAGGCGGTAGGTGAGTTCCGTCACCTAATAATAATAATAATTGTATCAAACGTCTTTTTGATGCATCAAATGAACGTTTAATATATGTGCTACGTTTCTTTATACTATTTACTTATTTATTTATTTTATATTTTTATTAATTTAATTATTTTTAACGGGAGACTTCTAAATGAGCGATAGATGACATATAGTTGACAGGAAAAAGATAAGATAGATAGAAAGAAGCGATATTATTAAAAACTTAAATTTACCATCAGGTTCAGGACTACCAACTGGTGATATGTCCGGTGTATGGATAATAGGCGTGTATGGACTACCATATAAAGAATTATTCTCCGATTTATATTCTTGAATACCCTGCTGCTGCTGCTGCTGCTGCTGCTGTTGTTGTTGTTGTTGCTGCTGTTGTTGCTGTTGCTGCTGTTGATGATGATGATGGTGATGATGATGATGATGATGATATAAAGACGAAATGGGGGAATGGCTACTCCATGGGATCTGTGAGATTCCTTGATAATTTTCCATCTTAGATCTTTAACAAAAATGACAATATTTTGGTGATTTATTATATCTTACTGTAAGAATCATAAATATTTGTAGAGAATTTCATATTGATTGAACAGTAAGTATTCTTATTAACAATTTTTTTCTTTTAAAACTCAATATTACGGTGCATGAAAGATAATAATATTGTAGTAAAACAAAAACTTACATGGAATGATGAATGGTAGCATTGTTAGGATTGGACCTACTGCTGGCAGTATTGTTAGCTGATGGAGGAGAGGAAGGTGCTCCTGGAGATCGTTTAGCATGTTTCCTTCGCCTTGGTCTGTATTTATAATTCGGATGTTCTTGCATGTGTATCACCCTGAGTCTTTCAGCTTCTTCGACGTACGGCCTTCTGTCCTGTGGCGTTAGTCCTCGCCATTTCTTTCCTATAAGTGATAGCAATGTTAGAAAAAAGACAACAAAATATACAGAAATGGGATTTTCTATGTATATACATATATTTAATATGCATGCATGGTATTATATGCATAATGATATTATAAATATATTTATATAAGAATTGTAAGAATTGCAAATTTAATTATATTTTATTTATAATATGTTTATTAAATACTTGGAAAAAAGATAAAATCCACAGATCTTACCATTTCTATTGTGCCAAGCAGCGTAAACATACAAAGACAAAAGAAACGTTTTATTATAATAATTGCTATTTTGTTAATTCTATCTATATAAAGTATATATATATTGTATACCAAATACTTTTACTCAAATATTTGAATTATTTATTTTCCTAGAAAATCATATCTAAAAGTATCTTCAATCTTTATGTTAGAAATAATATTTTTCTTATTAATTTTAAGCACTACTCAACTTAAAGTTTACTCATCATACAAGAAGTAAAAAAGAACAATCTTAACGTAGATATATACTTTGAAAATTCATTAAAGTATTATCAGGCCATACCTTGTTCCAGTGTACACTAATTATCTAACAATATCATTATAAGTAACTGGATATAACCGTTAACACCTAAGAGAAAGTAACTTTTCTTTAAAACCTTAACAAAAACCAACTTTATCTTATTGTTTGTAAATCCATATAGTATAATGCTTATATTAATTATATTTTTGATATCTATATGTTGTATATATTACATTAATTGCATACATGATAACTACATATGGTAAACATACATCTTATCTATATTGTATTATATATATATATAGAGGGAGGGAGGGAGGG